CAAAGCATGTTGTTCATGCAAGTCCACATATCAGATGTAATCGAAACAGCATTGGCCTTTGAGATTTCATCTTTGATTAACTTTTTAAGTCTCTCATAAATTGCCGGAATCACCACTTCACTCATATACTTTCTTCCAGGCAACTTATATTTAGGCTTCAATAAATGCAATAATCTGTCAAAGCCTTTGTTTTCCAGAATCGAAATAGGTTGATTGTCGGTTGCGATCATTTCAGCGATGGCATTATGAATTTCTTTTGCTCGAGAATCATTAATATCCCATTTCGTAACAAAAGCCTCCTCTAAAGTTTGTTGTTTATTGGATTTTACACTCGAAGTTGTAGGTAAAGTGTCAAAGCTATGTTCAGGAGCGCTCACAGAAGTAGACGATGTTTCTGGCAATTGATCTTTATGCTTCAACTTCAAATGATTTGTCATTCCATTCGTTGAAGCAGTGCGCCCTGTTCCACCGCGAGAAATAACAGAACTACACAAAGTGCACTTAACTTTGGTTTTGTCATCTTCCATTTCGTCAAAAAAGTCCCAAGCACGTGATCTTTTACGCCCACTCATATTGCAAACACGAAAAAGTTTATATTTTAATTTATTAACAACTTACACGTGCAATGTTTTAGAGCAAAGTGACGCGCAATGTGTGCGCGGGTGGCGGGCGGCGAGGTACGACTCGCTCGCAACTGCCAGCGGCGACAAGTGGCGTGCATGTTTGAACCTGTTTATGCGGGAGTGCAGTGAAATGGTAAACCGAATAATTCGGCCGAATATTCGGTTCGGTAAAGATTGAACCGAATAGTATTCGGTATTCGGTTATTCGGTAGAACTACTATTCGGCGCATCTCTAATTCTAATATAGCATCAAGTTTCCAAATAGAAACTTAATCCTTGGTCACTGACCGCTAATAAATGAGCCTGCTTTAAATTATATGCTGGCACGATGCCTTAAATTAAATATATAATTATGTAGATATTATTTTGCTCATGTTTTCAACTCTAAATAGCAAATATTACTTATATTTCGGAGCCGCGGAAGGTTGCCGGGGCTCCGGTTCGAAGGGCGTTGGAGTGGAGTGGTTTTGGATCAGTAAGAGTCTGACACTCCCTCTCGACTCTCCCGGGCGGGAGAAAACATTGGATGATTTTCACCCCTAAAAGAATATACATAGTTCTACTTACATATGTCTTAGTACATACATATGTAGGTAATGTCTCGGTATCTCTGTCCCCAGGATGATTAAAGTATGACACAAAATTAATACTTATGTTAAAATTGCAATGACTGTGGGTCCCATGCGTTTATGTCAAGTGTTAACCACTTTAAATAAACCCTCCTGATTGATCTCGAATACGGGGGCCATTTTACTAATTTAATACCTAAATCAATTCACATCTAACACTGAAGTTAAAAATAAACATCCATAAACTTTTTTGTAATCTGGGAATGAATGATTGCAAGCATTAAAACTTGTGACAACAGTATACGATCACCATAACAACAAAGTTCAAGTTCTAGCACGATTTCGAAGCAACATAGACATCGTAGCATTACCAACCCAAAAGCGAGTAAATTACAAAGTGAATATAGTTTCTCGTCTAGTTTCCTTCATGGTGTGAACTGACAGATGCTTATCATACCCGTCTCACTGTCACTGGATATTAGCCCTTCGCATCGAACACGGGCCCCGCTATTATACGAACAAAAACGGACCAATCATAAAACAGACGTACCATGTGACAATCGTTTAGGAATAGTCGAACTGTTTGAACAATATTTATAGTAAACTTTTACATCGAAATATAAAAATGTCTGATGACTCCTGACCTTTGATAGCTAAGCTTAAGCTAATTTTAAATTCAATTCGGTACCTGAATAAAATTTAAAGTTACATAGCATCTTGTATTTTTAATCCCCGACACACACAAAGGTGCGACGTGCACACACAAGTTTAACACATGGAACGCCATGGGGAACAAGGTATGGGCCACGATAGTGGAGGTTTTACCTTCAACAGTTTTCTGTCAGCAGTCAAACTGTTAATGTAGCACCCACATAACAATAGTTATAAGTCCTATGTAATAAAGAATAAACTTAATACCATAGAACATGCTGGAAAGTATACTTATAGAATCCTCATTAATTATTATGTTTTCGGTTTACACACGTAACTGTTTGACTTAACTCAGCCGCCGCGTCGCGTGTCGTGGGATGCTAGTGATGAATATGAGCCTCTAGCATGGCTTGAAACTAGTCGTTCAAATAGTTACGTGAGTAAGCTGAACACATAATAATTAATTTAGTGAGTCTCTTGAATGTTTTAAGTAATTATAGAATCCTACTTCTCAAAAAACCGTCAGTAAGAGACCGCAGAATGCGATGCACGCCTATTTTATATTTTACTAGCTTCTGCCCGCGATTTCGTACGCACAATCCCGTTTTCTCCCGTTCCCGTAGGATTTTCAGGACTTTTTTCTGTCATAAGTTCTTATGACAATAATAAATAAACACAACAAAAAAAATCAGCCAAATCGGTCTAGCTGTTCTCAAGTTATTGCGTGACAACGGGAAACGGGTTTGATTTATATACATATATATAATTATAGATATACACACCTACATATGTGTTTAAAATGTACAATAAATAAATCCTTTGTCCACATCCACAATATGCAATCCTTTTAATCAACATTTTCGTAAACACAAAGTAATCTCTTCCATGTATTCCACATTACCTACTTCGTTAAGCTGCATACTATGCACTACGTATTCAATACGATACAGTCCAGTCTATCACTTTAACCTTAATATACAGTACTTTATCAACAATGACACACTTTAGTATAATCTTTGAATAATTTATTAATCACAACCATTGTAAATCATGATAAAAGCAATGCGCGTTTACTATTAATATGTTTTATTTGTGCCATCCACACATTTTAGTTCCGGGTCTAGGTATGATGTATATCTAAATTCATATATTTGTACCTATGATACAGAAGAGAATCCCAGTGTAAGATTATGGACTAGTTTTGAGGAAAATTATGAAGTATAATCTTTGTTAAAATAATTGCAAAACAAAAGTACCGTTACACATTCTCTAAAATAGCAAGCTAAAAAGCATTCTACATATTGAGCATGCTCAAAAATCGAACGCCTGTCGATTCCCAAGCATGCCCAAAAGAAGCATGTTAATTTAGAGCAACATTTCGACATACATACTACTAAGTGACAAGTCCTCAATTAAAGCATGCTTTCGTGCTAGAAATTAGCATGTCTAACAGTACCTTAAGGCTCTCCTACTATAAATATATACAGAACGCCACGAATCTTACACACTTATATCAATACAAAACATGCTTCTTTAACTTACTATACTTTTTTATACCGGTAAGAAATATGTGACGTTTCAGTCGTCATTCTCCCTCCCCTCCCTTACATAATAATAACAACATACAAGAAGATTTGCCATAATTTCCTTTTGACGAGTTGGAGATGATTAAAGAACTAGATAGTCTATCTGCCGGTATAGTAGCAATAGAAGTGTTCAATGCTCAAAGTGTTCCCGGCTCGACCGGAGTGATATTACACGGCCTCACAGAAAAACGACGTGAAGCAACTCTTGCGTTGTGTTTCGTCGTGTGAGTGAGGTTACTGGAGGCTCAATTACACCCCCTTCCCCTTCCCCAATTTCCCCAATACCTGAATTCCCAACGACCCTCAAACTCCTAATCCCCAAAAGGCCGGTAATGCTTTGTAACGCTTCTGGTGTTCCAGGTATCCATGGGCGACGCCTATTGCTTACCATCAGGGATCCGTCTGCCCGTTTACCGACTTATGCCATAAAAAAGACTATTTTTATTTAGTTTAAATTTTAGACACTGAAACAATACGCATTATATTGCGAATTAATTAGCGTATCGTCCAAGGACGTTGATGCCATTTTTGTTTTAACAATAGGTGATAATCTATGGTCGGGTAATCTTTTGAAGGCCAGGTTTTTGTTTCAATTATTAGATACCTACCTATGTACGATGTTTTTATATCAGTCTGAAGTCATGCCTAGTTTTCGTCCAACACAGGCTCAGCTTAAAAGCACATAGGCAATAGTAAATTTTCCGTTAGGTGCATTATGTCATAGGTACTAGATTTAATCCTTTAACACATTGGATGCCGTGTCGGACAATGATATCCGACGCTAGCGGAGGATTGGCCTTTAAAAGTTTTTGTCGGCAATTAAAGGCTTAACTCGTCGAGTACCGTATTTATAGACACAATTAAAGAACAATAGGTTGCGGTCACCGGTGACCGCTTGGTGTTTGACAGTTTAATATTATAATTCAAGCGAAATTTTATTGTTTGTTGGTATATATGTTACACCTTCATGTCAAAACGGTTGAAACGATCGAGATAAAATTTGGAATAGGAGAAGATTATCCGTAGGTAGTCCGGAATAACATACAGGCCTTTTATTACACGGGAGCGCGGGCAAAACCGTTAGCAGACGCTAGTAGAGCATAAAAAATTTTGCCTAATGGATAATAACTTGCGTTAAATAGCAATATACTTATACTTCTGCTTTATAATATGAGTGAGAATTGCCATACATAACATATAGACATAACTTCTGATGCCACAGAGAATTCCAACCTCCAATATACCTACTTTACTTGACCACCAGATCAAATTCGACAGTTGCGACCTCTTAACCAACAAAGCAGTCATATTTGTTTTTTTTTTTTAACTTGCCCCACACTAGGATTTTTCCTGTGTCGTGGGTGCGTTTACAAACATACAAGTTCACATACACATGGTACCCAGACCCGGAACAACGACCTGTGGATCACACAAACAATTGTTACGTGCAGGAATCGAACCCGCAACACGTTGCGCGACAGCCAGCTGCCCAACCACTGCGCCAACTGTGCAATCTTCAGTCATGCGAATCATATTGTTATTAATTATGTATTTTTATTACTAATTTTCAGAATAGCAGTGCGTCTGCTCAAGCATATAACTAAGTTATATGACTTAGAATGGCATCTCCGAGACGGGAAGATCTTGGCCGAAGATCGAGGAGCTGTCATCATCTCAAATCATCAAAGCTCTCTCGATATATTAGGTAATTTAACAAGGTATCTTTATTATTTTAAACTGTCAAACACCAAGCGGTCACCGGTGACCGCGACCTATTGTTCTTTAATTGTGTCTATAAAACCGGTACTCGACGAGTTAAACACTATTCCTTCGACTTAAAATCGAAATTCCTTTACTGATTTCTCTGCAACATCTACCAAGTCGATAACCATTCACGATAATGTACTGAATATTGTTCTACTGATACTATTAGTAAATATAGATATAACAAATAAACTTACTAAGTATAATAATCATAATAACAAAGGTCATCAGCACCATTCACTTCAATAAATAAAAATATTTCTTCCGAGTGCGAACCGATACGGAAAAGCAATTAAACATTCAATTCCATATTGCAGTAGATACACACACATATGCATAGATACGACAATACATTGTATTGTACGTATCAACAGTTCACAAGTACGTTTACCTTCAGTTATTGATTGCCAATACGTTAAAGTATTGATAACATCTGCAACTGTTTGTATTTCTACTTATATTCTCGAATGTTCCAATTTCCAGGAATGTTCAATATATGGGACGTCGTCGATAAGTTAGCGGCGATTGCCAAGAAAGAATTGTTCTACATTTGGCCGTTTGGCCTGTCAGCCTACCTCGCTGGAGTCGTGTTCATTGACCGGAGTAATGCGAAAGGAGCTTACAGACAACTCAAAGTGACCTCCGAAGTCATGGTAAAAAATAAGGTTGGTGTCATATTTTCTATTACGTTATCTATACAGTATACTTAGTACTTCCCTGCGGCTGCGATAACGCGAACTGGGGGATTGGGCAATAAAATTTATCGTTCGCTCCCTCCCTTATGCGGAACATAACACGATAATATACAGTCTGCTCGATCTCCTAAGAAAAACAACATTGGAAATCCCATTAAAACCCTCCCTCATACAGCGAAGAACAGACATTTTTATAATTATTTTCTTATAACTAAGAGTATTTAATGCGTCTTCCTGTTCCGCGCAATTTGCTAATTATATCTGATAGTTGATACCGGCTTCTACGTCTCATAATCGTGCTCTATTAACTGCAATTAGCAGCCCTCGTTGGAGACATCTAGTGCACGTTACTGCGTAATAGGTACTCAGAGAAATATGAGTAGTAGTGTTGTCCATATAAATATGTAGGACACTAGTAAACATATATTATCTAACTTCAGTTCTTAGTCCGTTTCTTTGAACAGGGAAACCTTAAAAACGGACTCCAATTCTTAGTGGTGGTACTCATGTTACATGAGAGTAAACTTTCTATACCATAATATAGAACAACAGATGTATAGTTTTATTCAACAAAAGGGAAAAAGAAATAGAAAATAAACTAATACCGGTCTGACGTGTGATGGTACCGCTTGAGACCATCAATAACAAAGATATCACACGATTATATCCGCCATGACAGTCGGTGGAGCCCTTACGAAATTGTCGCTTTTCTCAAATAATAAAATATTAAAGGATTTTTATTGGAAAACCCCCGTAAAAGGGCCTGAACAAGGAAAAACGGGAAATATTGTAAGGGTTATGTCGTGCATAGCAACATAACGTCACGCTCTATGCCGGGGTCTAAGCGAGTATCTCATCCATACTACCAATTCCAACAGTAATGTTATTAGGACCATTTAATGGCTGGTGAACCTTTAGTAATTCTAAACAGACTCATTTATAAAATTAATAATGAACCTTGTCTATCATTGATATTTGTACCTTTCTGTATTAAAAACAACTACTTAAGTCAGACGCAACCAAAAAACTGAACCGACAAATGTAAATCGTAATTTAACTATTTTTGACTTATAAAATTGACAAGCGGAACTATAATTCTAGATTCTATTGAAGTATGGCATTGAATACTGAACCTATTACAGCTCCATTCTGAAAACAAATTAAAATTTAGTTACCCAAAAAGGGAAGAATAGTACATTATCTAAGTCCCTTTATCTTAGCATGGTGGCGTGAACATTATAACCTCGTACGTCGTACTTACAGCTCTCATTTATTAAATAGAGAAAGCTTCCCGGCTTGGATAATATTAAACTTATAAATTCAGCTTAATGCGCCAGTAACGAACTAGGATAAAACACAGATACAAAATTGCCTTGTTGCACGAAATGAGTTTCATTTAATTTTTTATTCATGCTTTGTTTTGCGTATCTGTGGACGCAGTGTGTAAAGGCTGTGTGTAATTTTGTATACCTGCATTTATATGACACGTTTTTAATTTACCTGAGTGCCTAATTACTTTCTTGCGATTTATTTTTATAATGTGTACCTACACAAATCAGTTGAAAGTTTTGTGTGTAGCAAAAATAACACAAAATAAAAAATTGCAACGTTTACTAAACACAGTTTGACAAAATAAAATTATTAAACCAAAAATCTTTCTATTATTCTCCATTTATTAATACAGTCAACAGTCAAAAGCAGAACGTACCTTTAACCAACAAGAACAAAAAGATTTTAACTGTCAAAAATGTTTTTATTTAATGAAATTCAAACAGACGTATTCTAAGAAAAAAAAGAATTTAGGAAAACGGTTGGTAAAGCGAATATTTTTTTACAGACGAAGATTTGGTTGTTCCCTGAAGGAACACGGAATAAAGATTACACGAAACTACAGCCTTTCAAAAAGGGTGCGTTCAACATCGCAGTGGCAGCACAAGTCCCCATCATCCCCGTTGTGTTCTCACCCTATTACTTCATTAATAAGGAGAAATACATTTTCAATAAAGGTAAGCTCTTCCATAAAAGATAATGTGTTTACTATTAAAGCACCTCCTTCCTTCTAATTGATGAACACTAGCTTAGGAAATGTAAATGCAAAATACTCTTTATGTAACTAGATTTAAAGTCTAGAACCGTTCAAAATTGATAGAAGCTTATCCTTCTAATATTCACTTATCTTACACATTTAATCCACGTGCATGACATTCTAAAGGATCATAATAAAAGGGATTTTTACAGTCGATCCTGCTTTCCTTCGATTTCAATCTAAAAGGTTAAAATTCGTGACCCTTCCGTTTCGGCAGAAAGTAGCCTATCTATATTCTAATTTGGACTTTAATCTTCTTAGCTGTGAAAGCTTCCACAGAATCCACACAAATTTCCCCCTGTGTTAGGGAAATATTTAGAGAAATGACTTTACAGAAACAAAATTTGATTTGTTACACAAAAGGATGTCTGTGGTCGACCGCAGAATCGTGACAGTTGTATTATTACCTATTTTATTTAGGCAATAAGTTGGTTTGGTTGGTACGCTGGTACTCAATACATACTGAAAAATGTAATACGTTGAATAATCAGAAATTATTTAAATAAGTACTGCACGTGAATTTGTTGTGTGCACTGCAAAAAGTCAAAGCATTTATTTCAATTAAACCATAGTTTGGTACTTTTGAAACGTCAGCAAATACAAAATAAATAATAGTCTGTCAGTCAGTCCGTTAGTGAAACTAGGTGAAGCTAGGTGCTCATTCCAAAATGTAGATTCGAATGGAGAAGAACGAGCAAGAAACTCCATAAAACTTATTATTGTCTGTCTCCTACAAAACAGTTGCGGCAAAGAGTACCGAGATTTCAACTTTCAGCTTCATGATAATGAAGCTACATTAGAAAATTAATAATCGTCATTCGCTGCGTAATGTATAATCTCCATTTAGTTACCATTAACACTACTTTTGTCGTTATTATTCACATGTGATAGATAGATCTTGACTAGACTTATAATTTCTAATTATAAGTTTGAAACCGCCAACCCGCATTGAGCGAGCGTGGCGATTAATATTCAAACCTTATCCGTGCGAGAATAGGACTTTAGTCAGCACGATGATTATGATAGATAGATCTTGTATGGATTCTATAGTCCAACTTAGGATAATACTAGCAAGGGAGTCATGACTTCATGAGTACCATCTACATATATGTCCTACTAGCTTTTACCCGCGGCTTCGCTCGCGTCACAAAAGGATAAAAAGTAGCCTAAGTGACATATACCAATACACACAGCGCCATCTATACCAATACTTTTGTTTTTCCTCGGGAATATCAAAATTTTCCGAGTTAAAAAGTACCCTATTATTTAATCCGGACTTTTAACTTTACGTCTGCAAAAATTTAAAGCAATCGGTTTAATAGTTATGGCGTGAAAGTGGAACAAACAAACAAACAAACAAACAAACTCAATTTCCCATTTTTATAATATTAGTAAGGAAGTAAGGATTTCGATACAAGCGCTTTCAGAAGAAGTCAACTCCATGATACTAATTTGACACTATCCTTAATAATACTAATGTATTTCCATTCTCTTTCCAGGTCATGTGATAATCCAATGCCTAGAACCAGTGCCGACAACTGGTCTAACAATGGATGATGTTCCAGACCTCATCAACAGAGTCCACGAGAAAATGACGATAGCATATAAAGAACTATCTAAGGAGGTCGTCAGTGCATTACCAGCTGACTACCCCTTCACTCTACTAGGATAGATACCACGACTGTTTATTATTAGTATTAGTTTTAATTATATTTTATTCATTATGACTATATTACGATTACGATAAATAAATTTATTATTTTTATTATAACTGTGTGCGTTTTATTAATATTTTTACTGTTGTCTATATTTGCTTGTTACCAATGCGTCGGTTGTAGTCAGTTGCTGCCCTATAGTATGTTATCATAGTCGATAGTTGTCAGTTAGTTTAGTAGTCATGATTAGTTAATAAAGACAACTATTATTAGCGTTCATAAGCACCAATTATCACGAAAAATGATAAGTAAGGTGAAGTAGTTGCAACCACAGTACAACCTTCAACGATTCGAGTGATTAGACAGCATAAACTCGATTGATACATATAGTGTATTAGAATTGACAGAATAACGGCTTTATACTGACCGTTTAATGACAAAATATTATCTATTAATTCCTACTTGACAAAATAACATACATAATAACGTATCTCTATTTGTTAAAGTTCAAAGGAGGTTTAAAAAATGTGAAAATGTGGAGGAAATGTAAGCGAGATAATAAAATCGTCAATTTTCTTATCCCATACAAACTGCTCTTGATGTAATATTAGATTGTGATATAGAACGAATAGGTATATTATTCCATGCGGTTTGCCGGGTCAGCAAAATAAAAAACAAATGACACGTCAATGACGTCATGCACAAAATGAAAAAGACAAACATATACTATGTTCTTTTTCTAAATCCAACTTATTGCCGCCTTCAGAACATTGTAAAATAAAAACAAATGACACTTCAGTGACGTCAGACCAAAAATGACAAAGCCAGAAACATATCGCTTTCTTTTTCTAAATCCAAATTATTGCCGCCTTTAATTTAATACAAATTATGTCTGGCCTCTAGTGTTTGTACTTAGAAAAAATTGAAGTTATAATTATGCGTTTTCACTAACATTATTTTGAGAGAAGTTATTATAAAATTATATCGTAGCCAACTAAGATAAGCTGCCGTTTAATAAATGTAAATGAAGAAATAAAAAAATATATATAAAAATGTATATTGTATATGATAATTTTTTAGTCTGCCTCGTTGGCCGAGTGTTCGCAAGTGCGACTACCGGGCAAGGAGTCTCGGGTTCGAATCCCGGGTCGGGCAAAGTTTAACTGGGTTTTTTTTTAAATCTCAGTAGTAGCACGGAGTCTGGAATTGTACCCGGTATATGGCAATAGGCTCACTCTTACATGGGACTCATAACATAAATAGTGAAAAGTGGGTGTTACATTGTACAGTGGCATTAAGTGCCGTAATATGCACCTCTGCCTACCTGGGGATAAAAATCGTGAGTTATGTTACGTGTAATTTTTTAGTCGTAATCGTTATTATAAGGTTTATAAGAAACAAAAATTGATACAGTCACCGAAATCATCGAGAAGCTAGGCAGGCAGCTACTTAATTGCAGGATAATTATAAAAAATGTAAATAACTATGTAGTTGTAGGTAGATACTTACCTACTTGAATAATACTATGAAATGAATCACTAAACCCTTATAGACAGACCCTTATCAGCAAATAAGCAAGCAATTAAAGTAAACGATTACTTAGTTGAAAGTAGGGCGCAGTCAAGTGGTTTGCAAACTGCACTTCAACAATGTAGCTTTCATATTTTAACATAATAATCCACAGATATTAAATAAACTGTATTTCATAATTGCCTTCTCCCCTGGTTCAAGTGGTCGGAGTGGCTCGTGAAGCGACCGGTTAGAAGTGCGTATACCGAGCAAGGAATCACGCGTTCGATACCCAGGTAGTTTGCCTAGGTTGTTTCTGTTCTAGTAGAGGCACGAAGTGTAGAATGATACCCGATGAATGTAAACAGACTCGTCCCTTATTACCTGCATGACATTTTTACATATAATACCTAACTGACAAAAGATGATACCCGACTAACTGATAACTGACTAAACATCTATTTAAATAGTAGGTAAATAATTAATATCAGCAGTTGAGATTGTTGGCTTATTATATTTTTTTACACACTTATAATAACGATATTTTTAGATATCATGAGAAATATCTAGAGGTACTATAGTTAAAAATCCAAAGGTCTAATTTAATAATACAAATGTGTAATTATCACATACATGACTTTTATGTGTACATTCACATGTCAAATGTACATGTCTTGTACATTTAAGTATTTATTACATTAAAATGTAATGTACATTAAAACGTACGATACTAGTAGCAATTAAGTTTTAATGGCAATCCTTTCACTCTTCAAATAATGGCAGTCAAATCAGGCCGTTAGTTGAAAGGCTGATTTAACTAGCTGACTGCGACAGAAGTAGATATAGATAAACCATAATAAAAAATTACGTCCTGTACTTAATGTATAAATAAATTAATTACGTTAAAAATAGATTGAGGTAATTAAAATGACGTAAGTACATTTGACGTTCAATGTACCAAATATAGGATTTTGTTTTTTTTTTTTTTTAATATTACATTTCTTATTCTCCACGGACTCTTGTCCGTGCCCTTGTCATTCCATTACATTATCTTTTAATTTACAGTCAAAATTAATTGTTACAAAAATCTTACGTGCTACATTAACCACACATTATATACACAATATATACACAATACATGTTTTATTACATTTACATTAACCTTACTGGATCGGCCCACACGCGCGATGAGCGAGCCGACCTGCTCCAGCAGAAGGCGCCCGTTCACGAGCATGACGTGAGGGCCAGCAATCGGTCCGATCAACCATTTCGTAGGGAACGGAGCGACCCAGTCCACAGCGCCACCGACTGTAGAACATTTAAGAATGCATGACGTCTGCTCACGCAGCAGTAAGCCGATTCCAGTAGTGCCAATGTATTTTGTCAGTCTTATTGATAAAATTTACATTACGTTACATTATATTTACTACATTTTAACATTATTAAACACACACAAATATAGAGGTATATTAATGTCACGCTTGCATCACAATTTAAGCTTACAGCGAGCCCTCCCCACCCAAAAGAGCGCCCACTACCGCCATGTCCCTGTTGCTGATAGCCATTTTCAAGTTATAGTCCAGGATCCCCCGCTCACTCTCACCCACCGCTCGTCTGATTAATTTGCTGATCGATAGGATTTTGGTTATAATTACTGACGTCACAATTGTTGAGCAAAGATCATTTTACGTCAACTGGTAATGAAAATATCATATTTATAATTATACTTATTTTTCTAACTTTAACGTTAAATACACAGAGATAAGATGTGAATATTACTTACTATAACTACTAATGACTCAACTATTGTATAGACAAAATTCTACGTCAAACTACAATCAGTTAAGTTTGTTTATTTCGTGTGAATTTCAAAAACAGATAATTTTTACAACATAAACATAACATCACGCCTTTTATCCCCGAAGGGGTAGGCAGAAGTGCTACTGTAGAATGTAACACTCACTTTTCACTATTTATGTTATAAGTCCCATGTAATAGGGGGTGAGGCTATTGCCATATACCGGACACATTTCCAGACTCCGTGCTACTACTGAGATTTTTAAAAACCCAGTAATACTTTGCCCGACCCCGGAATCGAACCCGAGACCTCTTGACCAGCAGTCGCACTTGCGCCCACTCGGCCAACGAGGCAGGCTTTCGAGGTAATTTTTAAACCAAAGTCATGTTAATAATGGTCAGTCACAGAAAAAAACCAAATAATAAATTCTTTTTTTAAACAACACTTTATACAGACTTGAAAAACAATGAATAAGTATTTATATTGCTTCACAATTTTCATTTTAATTCCAGCGCATTTTCCAGAAAACTCGGGCAAAAATGTTCTCCCTGATTTTCGAAGGCGGTGACTCATAACAGCGTCGGTTGTGAAACGTTCAAACTTAGGTGTCGTATACAATAAATAAGTAACAACTTACTGGAACACGTTCCAACTCATCCTAGCCTTATTTTCTTCAGAAACTTTTGGAAACACTTTTAAAATATATTTTCCTGGCGTTTTATTGGTACCGTCGATATATTTTATTGAGCAATTAAATGATAATTCACGTTATTTTCGGTGGCCTGCGAAACTTTTTAATAGTTGGAGTTCCTAGTAGTATGACAATATATATATATATTTTTAAATGTATGATATTATGTGTTACATAACTGTTGTTGTGGGATCCAAATGACAAACGATCAGGTTATCACCTTCTGTTGGTAGCTGATCCACCGTCAAACACAACGTTGTGTTACGTTGTTTTATGCCGGATTCCTGTGAGACCGTGGTATCACACCTGTCGAGCTTGTCAAGTCATCGTGGAATTTACTAACCTATACACCCATAACGGTAGTCTGGCATTTTCCTAACTATATAAAGAAGAAGAAGAAGAAAAAAAATGGTTTATTTACACACGTCAAAAAGTACAATACACACAAAAAATTAAACAATGAAGACGGCGCAAAAAGGATAGAGCTCAACTTAAATGCCGTGACCCGAGTGCGCATATATATAAGGATATATATCTATATTACTATGGTCTGCATAAAAATATTAAAACCAACATAAGAAAAAAAAAATTAAATTATATACACGCATTATATTATTTTAAGTGTGGGAAAGCCATGCACGAATGGGCCGGCTCGACCGGAGTGATACCACGGCCTCACGGAAAACGGACATAAAACAAAGCTTGCGTTGTGTTTCCTAGTGTGAGTGATGTTACGGGAGGCCCAATTACTCCCCTCCCCAACCTTCCCAATCCCTGAATCCTCAACAATCCTCAAATTCCTAATCCCCAAAAGACACACGTATAACGCCTGTAGTATTTCAGTTATCCATGGGCGACGCCGATGTTCTATAAAAAAATGTATTGCAAAGAACATTACATTTCATACCAATAAATAATTTTATTTTAATTAACAGATTTCTATAGAGAAACATGGCGGTTCTTATTACAGCAGTTAATAACATTTTATTACTCTTCTGGCATTTGAAGTGATCCCCGACTTCATTATAAGCCATCTTCCTTGTATTTTATATAAGTAATTAAATATTCTTAGCCCCTACTTTGTACATTCCCTTTTAAAAGAAACAATGCCTTTAATTTCCAGAAAAAAGGCATTTCCTATTTTTCCTTAAGTATTGAGTTAAAAAGTTTGAGAACAAGTATTAAAAGTTGGGGTAGGCAATCTTTTCAGTCTTTATTTCAAAACTAGCTTCTACCCGCGGTTTCGACTGCGTATCTGTGGGATAAAAGCTAGCCTATGTGTTATTAATCACCATAATATATCACTGTTCCAAAATTCAACTCGACTTATTTAGCGGATTTGACCTTATTGAATAACAAACATTCGCATTTATAATATAGAACCTAAGTAGTAAGTACGTGTCGCGGAGAACCTAACGGGATACCGGGGCTCCGGCTGGATGTGCAGGAAAAGGAACGGGGTGGTTTTTAGTCAGTAAGAGTCTGACACTCATTCCCGCCTCACCCAGGAGGGAATTCGATGATTTTCCCCCCTTAAAAAAACGTAGTAAGTACGTAAGTTTTTGATGGCCTTTAAGATGGCTTGCTTATAAAATCACATAAGTAAAATTCACGAATAGATAAACATTTGTCACATACGAAAAAAAATCTGTTCATATTGCACAGCAAAGGCTAACAGTAATATTTTCAAACGTCAACTAAAATAAATTTCAACTACCCTGTGGCAGCGTTTTCATCTGATACCGTTCAATATTACACAGGTATTCAATTTAATAAACTGTCGATCCTTTGACACCTGGATTCTGTGAACATTAGAAATTTCCAGAATATCGAAATATCATTTGATTTTGTGTTTTCTGGGAACTTAAAGTCTATATCGCCTTAAAACTGAAAGGCTACTCAATTTTAAACTGTCAAACACCAAGCGGTCACCGGTGACCGCGACCTATTGTTCTTTAAACTGTCAAACACCAAGCGGTCACCGGTGACCGCGACCTATTGTTCTTTAATTGTGTCTATAAAACCGGTACTCGACGAGTTAAGTTGTGTAATTCATTAAATATGAGCCATCTTTTGAATAAGAATTGGGTACTTACCAACTAGTCAAATTCAATACTTTTTTCGAACTATCAAAACGACAGTTCTCTATGAATTTTGTACGAGATTATGTATTTTGACGTCACGATTTTTTAGCGTCAAACTTACAAATCAAATGTGATTAACTATTTTTTTATTGTATTGTATTAAACAGTCGAAATAATTTATTTTTGAAGAAGGCAAGTATCCAATTGGTAGTGTAGTTCTGTCTTAAGCGTGTCTTAAAATTAAGTGTCTTTTGAGTATATTTAACATTAAACTGTCAAACACCAAGCGGTCACCGGTGACCGCAACCTATTGTTCTTTAAACTGTCAAACACCAAGCGGTCACCGGTGACCGCGACCTATTGTTCTTTAATTGTGTCTATAAAACCGGTACTCGACGAGTTAATTGTGTCTATAAATACGGTACTCGACGAGTTAAAGATTAAATTTATTCATGTGTATTGAGTTTTGACTACCCAACCTACACCTATTTACCATCGCGTAAATTATGAATTATTTATTTTTAGCCGTGATCGTCTCATTGCAGGACAAAGGCCTCCCTACCCTCCTTCCACTCCTCTCTGTACAAAGCTTTTTGCGGTCATTCCTAGTGTCAAATTCATCCCGCCATCTCCGTCTGGAGCATAATCAAATGATCAATTGGTTAAATTATATTTATCTAGGTCCATAGCATTAACACTAATAAAGCGAAAACGGTTATTTCTTAGATAAGTCTATTTACTTAATAAAGTACTCAGATAGATCTAAATATTCCTACATATGTACTGAGTATGAATTACCCATTTAGAAGAACCTGAGATGATTCTCAAGCTAACACCAAATATTCCACAAACTAGATTAAATTTTCTTCAATGAACTTCTTGAATTTGTGTAGACTAGTAAACTAATAATTTTATTTTCATTAGCGGCGCAAGAACTTATTTAAAGGCTAACATAATTTAAAAACGTGGCAGTACCTAATTAAACTGCGTCCGACACAGTGCACTCACGAAACTCGATCATAAAAATTTATTTCCACGTACAAAATGTCAATGTTACTAACAATTTTACTATCCATTACAGTGATAACCCTTCTAGTTCTATTTAAAAGTGAATTCAAAAAAGTGCGGTTTTATATCAAATTTTATTTCTATTATGTCACTCTTAGTATAGTACCCTTAATAATTATGCCTTACCTATTGATGAAACCGAAGCATCACAGCAATGGACCGTAAGTACCTTCGTTCCTAGACTGTAAGTAAGTCAGGGTCGATCAACAATCGTGTTTGAGGTTTTCACCCAGCACCAAATTCAACAATATCGGCGTGACTCGCCGTCCTAATTGAATATGTTTTACAATATATTCAGTGCACTTTCGTCTACCGCGACAACCGGGTGCATCCAAAACATTTCATCCTAGATTAGTTAACATTAAGCACATTTGTGGGAAATAATAAACAGTGTGATCCACATAAACATTGATTTCTCTTCCTAAACACTAAACACTGACAACTAAATACGTATCCCTACATATGTTTTGCTCCTTCGAGCCGGACCACTCGTCCGAAACGTCGAACTAATAGTAACTGACCCGAGTGGGTCCTAACGTCTTAGGGCTGCAGTCAGGCATGGGCATCAATGGATGGGATTATATCTGTGAACATCAAGACACTTACCAAGGGTGGGGACAACAGTAAACCCTCCTAAAGTCCCTCCTAGTAAAGTCCAATGAACTTATTCCAGCTGATTACGATGATTCCAATTAATAATTTTGACTGGATTTGTCTCATATGAATATGGGTGTCAGTATGTTATATGAATCTTTTACGTAAACTGCTAAGAATTTCTTGGAGAATTCGACTGTCCATACTTAAGTAAGTAGCTATCCAGACAAAACCCCTAAGGACATTAAACATATGAAGTGTAGTATTAACAGCCACAGAGTTGATATGTTTCTAAAAAACCAGTTAGAGAGTATTCCCTGTAACAAATAGATGTTTATATAACCTGTCATCCCCGAAACATTAAAAATAGCCACCATTTTCAGAATAACCTCTAGATATATGAGAGATATTGCCAATTTCGTATACGGTTGGGAATGGCAAATACGCAATAAAGAGATATTGATGGAAGATAGAGGAGCCGTCATCATTAGCAATCACCAGTCCGTTTTTGATTCAACTGGTAAGATGCATTTAAAATACTTCATATTTATCATTGGTACAGTTTTCATCATCATTCATACATATTTTGGACCTAGGTATGCGAACAAATTAAGGGAAAAAGTGTCTTCTAAAATTACTTACCTAACTGCAGTCTACTGCCAAGAAATTATGGAACCACTACAGATGGGGCCCCAATAGGGCTGATGCCGATAAGAAGACGAGGAGGACTTTTTTTAAGGGGGGAAAATCATCGAAGGACTGCTCCCGCCTGGGTGAGGCGGGAGGGAGTGTCAGACTCTTACTGACTAAAAACCACCCCGTTCTTTCTCCTGCACGTCGAGCCGGAGCACCGGTTACCCGTTAGGTTCTCCGCGACACACTTAACGGGTTGCCGGGGCTCCGGCTCAAAGTGCAGGATTAGTAGGAAGAGTCTGAGACAGCCTCTCGCCTAATCAGAGCGAGAGAAGCCATTGGATTAATTTTTCCTGTGCTGTAGTTTTTAAAGAATACTCAGAAAATCATTAATGTCTTAAACTATTACTTAAAATTGCAATATTTTCAGGTATCAACAATGTATGGGTTGTGGCTAAGAAAATATTATTGATTGCGAAAAAAGAACTTCTACTTTACTCGGGTCCACTTGGCCTGGCGATGTATCTGTGTGGCACAATATTTATTAATAGAAAGAACCAGAAAGAGGCCTATCAGAAATTAGAACTTACGAAGCAGTTGATGATCCAAGAGAATGTGAGTAAGAATAATCTTTTGATACGGAGCCCTTATAATTAAGGCATACTATGTCACTATTTCTAGCAATGAATTCCGAATCTAAATCTTATCATAATCATCATAATGTCACGCCTATTTCCCCAAAGGGGTAGGCAGAGATGCACATTACGGTACTTAATCCCACTGTACAGTGTAACACACCCACTTTTCACTATGTTATGAGTCCCATGTATTTAATAGAGAGTGAGTTTATTGTCACATATCGGGCACAATTCCAGACTGCGTGCTACTAGTAAGAATTTTTAAAAATCCCAGTAATACTTTGCCCGACCCGGGAACCGAACCCGAGACCCCTTGTCTGGCAGTCGCACTTGCGACCACTCTGCCAACGAGGCAATCTATATCTACGAATACGTAAAACGCAAAAAAAAACGAGTTTACTAACAAAATGACGGGTATTCCTTACGTCACACGCAGTGATGTGATCTTATTCGAGGTTCATTAAAAATTCTCTGAGAAAATTTATATATTTAAACATTTTTAAGTTAACATTGTTTTAAGTATTTGTGTCCAATTTTGACTTATTTTTATTTTGATCTTTAGAGGCCTTTGGCATCAAATTATACAATAGCATGTACAACTTCACACACACTATACGTACTTACGTAGGCAACATCCAGATACGCATCTGTATTTAAAAATTAATGGTAGGTACATCAAACAATCTACTTTGAAATCAAAATAGGTAACTCGTAACTTCATATTCTTCGTAACTAAGATCATATTTCAAAGACAATAATGATAAATTAACAGCTTCTTAAATCATCATGAATACCTCGGAAAGACCAAGACTGAGTCTCCGAGTCCACAACCAGTGACCGCTCTCCATTCACTCCATTATAAACCTTATTTCCGATCTTTAGAGACTACTTTTTTATGAACAAAATTGTTGTGGACTTTTCGTACGATATAAGAAAGTATATAAGTAGATGAGTAGATGACTTACCTATTTAGCCGTTAGCGTAACTTCACCTTATTTTAATTCCAATGCAATGGAAGCCTTCGAATAAAGATCCCCAGATAAACTTCCGTCTTTACGCATACGTATACATCTTTACGCGTACGCATACGTAAAGACGGAAGTTTACCATAGTATTCTTTGCCATTTATGAAGAGATAAGCCATGGGCCAGGACCAGTCATTTGTTACAAAACAATCAAAACTTCCATCTACCAGTACAAAACAAATGAACTTATTTAATCTTTGGCGTCAATTACGATACCGTAAACTGATAGAATCGAATGGTATTGAATTAAATACTTATATCTATACAGGGTGATTTGTAATTCGGCCATAATCTCGTATGCCCATTATGATCCTTTCCAACATTTTTGTTGAACAAAAAGATAGGCGGACATGAACGGTTATTAAAATATTAGACAATCTAGTTTCCTTATGGCATCGAGCATTTCTTTATTGAAACAAAGAGTTTCCTTTTCTTGTATAGAAGCACTAATTCTATGGATTGTCAGTATGCATATGTGAGCACCATGTTGGACTTTAAGTTAATTTTTTTTTTTTTTAATTTTAGTAAGTTATTAGTATAATGCGTCAAGCGTGTCTTTGCATTGTTCTTACATATGCGTACAGTATTGAAATATGTATCGGAGACATTGTAGAACATACTTTTTTAAAAAGAGTAACGAATGGAGTTTCTTGCTCGTTCTTCTCCATTCGAATCTACTTTTTGGAATGAGCACCTAGCTTCACCTAGTTGACACTGACGGACTGACTGACAGACTATTATTTATTTTGTATTTGTTGACGTTTCAAAAGCACCAAACTATGGTTTAATTGAAATAAATGCTTTGACTTTGACTTTAACTTTTAACTGTCGCGTTCATTTCAAAATGACGTCCGCGGTAACTCTAGAACTGAAAATACAAAAAAGAAACGCGCTTGACCTAATATTCTTATTTTAATTATTTTACTTTATTACCTAGTTTATTTATCAATTCTAATCATCAAATACACAATAATAATATTATTTCAGACACTGTGATCCCAAACTCTTATGAAGTTTTTTTTTCAAATGTGACTCTGAAATAATATGCTTCTCTAACATAATTACTATGACGCTTGTCATACTTTATTACGAGTGCACTTTTTATAAAATAGGGGAGGTGCATCTACATTTCATAAAATTTCATATGAGGTATAAAAAAACCTGGACCTGGACTAATGTCAAAGATATTAGACTAACAATGGGCTAAGGTAGTAAAATAATACACAACTTTTACCCAATCATCCAGAATACCTAGGTACAATACAAATTTAATGGTAGGTACACCAAACAATCTACTTTAAAATGAAAAAAAGTAAAACTCGTAACTTCATATTCTTCGTAACTTAAGATCATCTTTCAAAGACAATAATTATAGATCAACAACTTCTTAAATCATCATAAATACCTCGGAAAGACCAAGACTGAGTCTCCGAGTCCCCAACCAGTGACCGCTCTCCACTCACTCCATTATAGACCTTATTTCCGATGTTTAGAGACTACTTTTTTATGAACAAAAATGTTGTGGATTTTTCATATGATATAAGAAAGTATATAAGTAGATGAGTTAGTACTTACCTATTTAGCCGTTAGTGTAACTTCACCTTATTTTAATTCCAATGCAATGGAAGCCTTCGAATAAAGATCCCCAGATAAACTTCCGTCTTTACGCATACGTATACGTCTTTACGCGTACGCAGACGTAAAGACGGAAGTTTACCATAGTATTCTTTGCCATTTATGAAGAGATAAGCCATGGGCCAGGACCAGTCATTTGTTACAAAACAATCAAAACTTCCATCTACCAGTACAAAACAAATGAACTTATTTAATCTTTGGCGTCAATTACGATACCGTAAAATGATAGAATCTAATGGTATTGAATTAAATACGTAAACAGGGTGATTTGTAATTCGGCCATAATCTCGTATGCCCATTATGATTCTTTCCAACATTTTTGTTGAACAAAAAGATAGGCGGACATGCACGGTTATTAAAATATTTAACTTTAACTGTCGCGTTCATTTCAAAATTACGTCCGCGCTTGACCTAATTTTCTTATTATAATTATCTTACTTTATTACCTAGTTTATTTATCAATTCTAATCATCAAATACACAATAATAATATTATTTTAGACACTGTGATCCCAAACTCTTATGAAGTTTTTTTTTCAAATGTGACTCTGAAATAATATGCTTCTCTAACATAATTACTATGACGCTTGTCATACTTTATTACGAGTGCACTTTTTATAAAATAGGTGAGGTGCATCTACATTTCATAAGATTTCAAATGAGGTATAAAACTTCGACATACCTGGACTAATGTCAAAGATATTAGACTAACAATGGGCTAAGGTAGTAAAATAATACACAACTTTGACCCAATCATCCAGAATACCTAGGTACAATACTCATTTATATAAGTATTCAATAGTGCGCTAGATTTTCCACTTTTTAATACTGACTTACGACTGTTATAAAATCTACTGCCACGATATATTAATAACTCTTTCTTTTTATATCGTTTTAGTACAAAACATGGATATTTCCAGAAGGCACGAGGAATATGAAATACGATGGCAAGTTGTTACCATTCAAGAAGGGCGCGTTCAATTTGGCTGTGACTGCTCAAGTGCCGATCATACCTGTTGTATATTCACCATACTATTTCTTTGACAAAGATAAATACATTTTCGATAAAGGTTGGTAGCTACCGTCATACTTCAGCTGATTTTTCTCTGCAAGAAACTTAGGTCTTGTATCAACGTTACCATTTATAAGGTAGGGCCAGATTTTTTTAGGCTTAGAAGTTGTCATTAGTTAAATCCCATGTTTCAAGGAGTGAATTAACTTTAATGATCAGCACTCGTAATTGCGACTACGGCTACTTGACTAACAGTACGAGTACCTACATGTTATGTAGTCTTGTGGAGTAGCCGTTGTATCACCTATAGGAGTATAGAAATAGTAGTCTATACTACTAAACCCCTAAAATCTAACCGAAACAATTTCAGGTCGCCTCATACTGCAATGTCTGGAGCCGGTGCCAACAGTGGGACTTACAATGGACGACGTGCCGGCCCTCACCGAGCGCTTGCACCAGATCATATCTCGGACTTACGAACAACTGTCCAAAGAAGTTCTGTCGGACTCAAGAGGCAAGTGATACGGGAAAACTTGCGAAACTTAGTTAAGACCGTGATAAATTATTGCTATTGTTAAGCGCTAGAGGATGTAATTTTTAGTTTGTAGATTTACTATTAAGGTAAACATCTCATGATTATGAACACACAATAATAAATACTTTATTGGTAATTTACTTAGTTTATTTTATTTCCTTCAATTAAAATTAGATCAATGAAATTAATTCCCAAGTGTAGATATATATCAGAAGAATATCAGAACTTCTGTATATCAGATCTTCGGACTGAACTTTATAATAATAAACTTATTCTTTCAACGTCCTTACTAATTCATTACAAAATCTTTAGAATAACCAAACCAGCAAAACTAAATCTATTAGGTAAGAAAGAAGGTTTCGTTTCTACACAATGTCACAACAACTTTATTTCCTAAAGGAGTTTATATGTAATTTGTTAAATAGTTACAACCCTGCAGGGACGACCATGGCTAAAAATAAATAAATAGTAAAGCGCCTATTAACGGAACATTCATAATTTTAAAATACATTACACAAATAAATACAAGTACAAAATAATTTTTTAATAAATTCGATTTCGTTCCTTCGTGTAGCAAATCGAAGTTTGGTCGTTCCGAAACGCTTTCATTTTGACGTCAAACTCGGACGCTCAAATACTGGACGAATCTTTTAATGTCACTGGAACACTCTCCAAGTCCAAACAACAGTATTTCGTTTCTCATGATTGGTTGCGCGCTATAGGATTTATTTCAGTTTTGTGTTTATTTTTGTTTTTAGAAGCTTGACGGTTTTTATTGTTCACTGATAATAAGTTACAAGTTCATTCGAAAATGTGGGACAAAATCATATATATGATAGTGATTCTCATAGTTACGTACATTTTAAAACAATTGTTTTCTGAAACACCGAATTTTGTGAAATTTAAATCGAAATTCCTTCTGTTTTATATCTGGACTTCTGTAACAGCAGTGATATTGTTGCCATTTTTTGTGTTTAATCCGAAAAATGTGAAAAATTCGCTGTAAGTATTGATATATTTATCATTTGTTTCGTGTGTAATAACCCCCTGAATGCTGAAAGATTCGTCACCCGCTTGTGTTTGTACGTTACGTTGATTCATCAATGCATTTTAAATGGGTTTTTCCAAACACTATTATATTTATGTAAACATGGATAGAACTGTTTTAATCCTAATCCTTTTAGTATTCTCTAGATACATATATCTGTAACACTAATTATTTGTTTACAGATTTGGATCACAAATAGTGAAACATGTAACCAAAGTTATAGAGGTGAAATGGCTGTTAAGAAATGGGAAAGTATTAGCTGAGGACCGTGGAGCTGTTGTTGTGTCTAATCATCAATCTTCTATTGACATTCTGGGTAAAACTGTAAAATTATTATTTTTATCTTTATTCATTACCTTACTAGGTTTCTTTGTTCCTTTATTTCATATTTGTTTTGACCTTTAAAACTGAAACATATTACCATTTAAAAAGAGTGAGGTAATATTTCCTTTACAATTTTGGCCGTACTGCGTGGGTGGCAAGCGGCAATACATTGACCAAAGACAATTTTATTATATAAGACTCGTTAGAACCTGTTTCCTATAACAGTGGCTGCTAAAAAAAATGTATCAGTTATTGTTTGTGTATTCTACCTGTTTATCGATGTCTATCCTAGTGTAATATTGCTGTGATGTCATCTAATGATCTTAGGGTCAATTGCCAATTGTGGGGCTTACAAAATCTAGCATGTGTTTATAATGCCTTGTCTACACTATTAACAATTATGGTGCTACAGGAATCTAAAATGCAGTATTCAATTTGTTTTCATTACAAATAACTGTAGACATATTTAACCTAAAGAATTTACGGTCTAAATGTAGACAGTATTGTTTAAGAGTGATATAAAAATATTACTGCACCTACTATTGTTTTTAATAATAAATTCCAAGGTAATTTTCATTTGAAAATGAACTAGTTGCACTTATGATGTTATCATATTTTTTTCTGTAGATAATTCTGAGAGCAAATGTTCCGATACGGGCGTCCAAATTTAATCTTATTAGCAATATCTGAAACATCTGTATCAACAGTTGAGTTTGGTTTCAATAGCCTTGATAATAAAGTAGGACATTCGGTACCACCTTACTTTAAATAAGATAAGAATTGCCGTGCGGAACAGTTATGTTCGATAATCAAAAATATAGTAAATGATAAACTGATTGCATACCTTGATGACATACTGACATAATATACTAGAGTCTCTTTATCTAGAAATATTCTAAAATGGCATATACTTTTTCCTTCTAACACCGTATTGTATATGAATCACAATTCTTGCTTGAAAGAGTTACCAGCAACACACAAAAAATGAATGTTATGGCCAGAAAAATATTAAAGATTTCCTGGTAGACATATATTCAAACCTATAAATACTGTTTCTTGAGACGAGTTCCTACATTTAGTACTAGTAGTAAATAGTTAAACTTTTGAAAACCTTGCTCTCTGTTATCTTATATATCCATCTATCCATCAGCAGGATACAATAATGTGTGTTACTATTGTCACACTAATATTATAAAAGTGATTGTTTCTATGTTTGGATGTTTGTCTGTCAATCAACGAATCGCTGAAACGACTGAACGGATTTTGATGAAATTTGGTATACAGGCAGGGTATGGGTTGACTTAAGTGATTTTGTTATCCAGCTTAAATGCTCCCATGGGATAAAATAGATATAAAATAGAGTCTACGCGGACGAAGTCGCGGGCAACAGCTATTTGGCATTTCATTGTCTCTGTCTACCCCAATGACAGGCAGGCATGACAATATTTTAATGTATGAAAAGTATCGCAAACTTTAAATAATTTTTAATATTCCAGGAATGTTCAATATCTGGCATGTAGCAGACAAAGTGGCTGCTATAGCGAGAAAAGAAATATTTTACGTGTGGCCATTCGGACTGGCCGCATATTTAGCTGGAGTGGTGTTCATTGACAGGAATAACTCCAAAGATGCTTACAAGCAATTGAAGATTACTTCTGAAGTCATGATTAAAAATAAGGTGAGTAGTTCTCTCGTTAAATGCCGTGTACGTTGACGGTGACCTGTGATTTTCCCTTAACGGTTTTTGTGTCGCCAGTCAAAAATTCCATTTTTGTAGGAGCAAAGGTGTTATTGTATAAGTCTTTAACTAGCGACTCTGGCGCAGTATCACCCACTCTACTCGGCTCCTATTGACCGTAATGTGATATTTTAGAAAGAATTATTGAATTCTTACCAGCTCTAGATATTAACTCAAACTCGTGCTTCAGATATTAGTACTAGCTGTTGCCCGCGACTTCGGATATAAATTTTAGAATATAACTCTTTTGTTTCAATTTTCCAAAATAAAAATAGCCTATGTTACTCCTTAGTACATTAGCTACATGCGAATAAAAGTCTTGCAAAATCGGTCCAGCCATTCCAGAGATTCGCCAGTACAAACAGACAGACAAAAATTGTAAAAAATATTATTTTGATATGTTTTATATGCATGTAGTAAGAAGTGGTTATTTTAATATTACAATCAGACACTTTTATTTATCTATATAGATAGATTTTGCGAATTACTATAATATATGTTTAAAAAATTAATTGCTGCAGAAGTGTTAATTTGTTTTGTTTTATAACTAATTCGTAAGTACATAATGTTACTGCTAATAGACTGGCTGAAATAATATTTTAAAATGCATGCTTATGAAGAATTTTGATTGACGTCTTGGCACCGTTAGTTGAAGTTGTATATGCTGGTAATCCGATTTTAGACTTCACTCATAATACCTACCTACATACTTGTTAATAATGTCAGAGAATTAACTGAATTCTTTGATCACATATATCAACATCTCGTGATAAGCCACTACTGGACTATAGCAGAAATCTAAGAAAGACAGAAAACACATTTTTTTATGTCACGACACACAACAGGAATACAGGTACAGACAAAAAGCCCATAGTGCGTCGTAACGCAAAAGGCCGGAGCTCAGCTTAATACTGTGACCGGCCACGAAGGTTCGAGTCCACGGCGCTGATTTTCAGCACCAGCCTGCATCTACCATACAATCTTACCCATCTGGCACTGTCGCTATGTAGGTACAGTTAACATCGGTTTAAAGACTCGATTGCCATTCAAGAAGAAAAATTAAATCTTCCCGTCTACATAAGAGGAATCTACCAACATCTTTAAGTTGGGATGGAAATCGCGTTTCAAAAGTAGCAGGTTTTTAGAGAGCGCTGCTGTCCGGTCTCTATCACATGTGTAGTCCCTTAGTTGGCTCTTACGAAATCTGTGGAAAGAGTACCTTGAGCAAGAAAGTGACGAATGTATGCTATGTATATTCTACTCTGCCGCAACACGATTTTGATCGCACGCCGAGTACAATCTTGAGTTCAATCTCTGTATCGATGCTAATAATAATAATAATAACCTGGCAACACTACAAACGTCAACTTGTGAAAATTTTACTCCGTTTTTATATAAATAATTTATACATATTCCATTCTGTTTTCGTTTCTTCTAATATTTATCAACAATAGAAAAACCTTTTTGTTTTATAATAATACGCCATAATTTTACAATACTGCAAACTAAGAAGAAAATATTAAAAATGAAAATGACAATGACAGAATTAATAACTTCAAAAATAAATATACTAAAGCAAAACGATTAACAATGTTGACGAGAGCCAGAAGCAAACAAGGCGCACCCCCACCACCTCCGGACTCGTCGCTCAGCTCCGCCTCGCCATCGCCGGAACCCCGCTCCGCTGGAACGCCGGTGACTGCAGTTGCGTCGAGCTCGAGCGACGACTATTTCTCCCCACCTACGTCGCCACCACCTGTACGTCGGCCGGGGAGAGGCCGGCCACCGACTGGCTTGGGAACCAGGGGCCATCAGGCCCTGGGACGGGTCCCCGCTACCGGTGGTTGTGTGCGGCGCATGAAATGGACTCAAAGTATAAACGAGAACGTCATGCGCGCATACTACGGTGCTACAGAGGGAGGAACTAACCTCACGGCGTACCGTGAAAGGATGCTGTCTATGTTTCAGGTGCTTGAACCATCTGTCAACGTCTCGGCCCAACGACTCTCGGATCAAGTGCGGGTCATCCAACGCAATTGCAGATTGGATGAGACTACGCTTGATCGGCTACGCCTTGAAGCACTGCGCAACCGTGTCGTCCCCGCACCACCACAATTGGTGGCACAGACACCTGTAGTGTCACAATGTGTGACATCGACCACTCCTATCGTTGGAGTGGAGGACGACAGGGTTGAACAAGTGAGTACTCAGTGCAATGAACGTCTGAGGAGTGCTTTGGAGGATGCGGTTCGTGAGTACAGACTTGCTCCTAGTAATTTAAGACCAAAGTTACCACGTTTGCCCATGTGTAGAAAAAATAGGGCGCTGGTGAGCGCCTTGGATTCGCTACTTAAAAATATTTTGAGAGTAGCGAAAACCTCTATGATACACACTCAATCTTGTACTGTGGGGCAGTTGCTGCTTGTCGAGTGGCTAACGTCAGATTCCCAAATCTTGACGCAGCAGTCCGACCAAAACCAGCAGTACCTGCCTGGCAGTGCAGGATAGAGCGTCGTATCAGTGAGGCCAGGGTACTCATTGGCAAACTATCCTGCTTCAGGGAGGGCAATACTCGCCCTAGAGTGATGCGCTTTGTAAGACGTGCATTTGTGGGGACTGAAATCAGTCCTCATGAATACTTATCACGTGTTACAGAACGCATCGACTTCCTGAAGCAGAAAGTTTATGCATGGGCAAACCGTATCAGAAGGTACAAAAAAAGAGTGGAGCGCTATACTCAGAATCGCATGTTCCAAAGAGATCAGAGGTGGGTATACAGAGATTGGGAACGATCCAACCAAGATGTGGCTGACGGGCGACCGGATGATGATGCCACTAACACATTTTGGCGCAACATCTGGTCGGTACCTGTTAGCCACACAGAAGGTGACTGGATGTTGATGTTAAGCGAAGGTGTGAGACTATACCAGAGATGGAGGAGGTAGTAATCACCTCCTCTGATGTAGCCAGTGCAGCCTGTTCGGTCCGAATTGGAAATCACCGGGGCCGGACGGACTGCACAATTTCTGGATTAAATGGTCAAGAGTTCACACGTTCGCTTAGCATTACACTTCCAGGCAGCTTTGGAAACTGGGTCGTTACCACAATTTCTAACAACAGGAGTTACCCACTGCTCCATAAATCAGGTAGTTCCATGAGCCCAAAAATTATAGACCAATCACATGTTACCAACGGTCTATAAACTTCTTACATCCATTTTGAGGACAAAAATAACAAAACATATTAAAAAATTCCATCATGTCGGTCTCAAAATGGATGTAGGGAGGGGTCTCGTGGAACTAAGGAGCTACTCCTCATTGATATGGTTGTTAGCCAACAGGTTCGTCGGTCCCGAAAAGATTTGTCTACATGCTGGATAGACTATAAAAAAGCATATGATTCTGTGCCACATACATGGCTCCTGAAGGTGCTGGAGTTGTATAAAATACATGCAAGTTTACGCGCCTTCTTGGAGTCATGTATGAGGCAGTGGAGCACCGTGCTTTGCTATCCGGGATGTAGACAAATCCAAGGGAATGAAGAACCTGTAAGGATAGTACGAGGAATATTCCAGGGTGACAGCCTGAGCCCACTATGGTTCTGCTTGGCCTTGAATCCTCTAAGTACTCTACTGGAGGATTCAGGGCTAGGCTATCCTTTGCGGAGAAGGGGTTAGTTATATCCCACTTACTTTACATGGATGACCTCAAGTTGTTTGCTCCAAACAAGAAACAACTGACGGAACTACTGAATATAACTGAAAAATTTAGTAGTTCCATCAGAATGGAGTTTGGAGTAGACAAGTGTGCGGTCATGCATGTAAAGCGAGGAGGGATTGTGGAATCTGAGGGACTAGAACTCTCAGATTTCACAAAACTGAGATCACTCTCCGCAAACGATACATACAAATACCTGGGTATCAGAAGGATTAGGCATTAATGGACCGGACATGAAGCAATCGTTACAGGAGCGCTTCTTTGGCCGCCTGAATAAGGTACTAAAAAGTTCCTTATCAGGCGGAAACAAGGTGCGAGCCTTTAACGGTTGGGTCATGCCAGTCCTAATGTATTCTTTTGGTATACTCAAGTGGACACAGACTGAACTTGACACCCTGGATAGACGAGTCCGGACCCTGCTGACTGCAAATCGCATGCATCACCCTCGTTCGTCGGTCATGAGGTTGTACATCCCGCGGAAGTGTGGTGGTCGAGGCTTATTAAATGCTAAGACCCTTCACAACCGTGAGGTGTGCAGCCTCAGGGAATATTTCCTGAAAGTCAACGAGGGTATGCATCGAGAAGTAGCAGCGGTGGACAATGGATTCACTCCACTATCCTTGGCAAAAGAGAACTGGCGCAAACCTGTTACTGAGCGTCAATGATCGCAAGGAGGTATGGCATAGCAAGGAGCTCCACGGACGCTTCTTCCGGGCCCTTCATGGGCCCAGTGTAGATTTTCTAGCGTCCGTATCTTGGCTACGATTCAGTAATCTCTTTGGAGAAACTGAAGGATTTGTCTGTGCAATTATGGACGAAGTTATCCTTACGAATAACTACCGGAAATATATAATTAAGGATGGGACGGTTGACATGTGTCGGGCATGTCATAGTCCTGGTGAATCCATTAGACATATTATTTCTGGTTGTGGTCGTTTGGCTAACAGTGAATATTTGCATAGGCATAATCAAGTAGCCAAGATTATCCATCAGCAACTTGCTTTGCACTATCGACTTGTTGATCTGAGGTACCGTACTACAAGTATGTGCCCGACCCAGTTCTGGAAAATGACCATATCACGTTGTACTGGGACCGGTCTATCATTACTGACAGGACTATTAGCCAATAAACCTGACATAGTAGTGATAGACCGTCAAGTACGCCGCACGATGATAATCGATGTCACCATTCCCATGACGAGAACCTCGTGAAAGCTGAGAAAGATAAACAAATAAAATATCTAGACTTAGCTCACGAGGTTGTCGACATGTGGAGTGTGGATTCGGCTATCATTGTGCCGATAGTCGTGTCGGCCAATGGGTTAATCCCTAAAAGCCTCGACATCCATCTCAGGAGGCTGGCGTTAGGTGGATGGATCAAGGGCCTGATACAGAAGGCAGTTCTCCTAGAAACGGCACGTATCGTGAGGAGGTTTCTGTCTCTGGAGCCCTAACCACCGGTAGCTTGGACCATGCTCCCGCTACTGGTCGGGTCCTATTTTTATATTTTTAAATATTATTTTTTTTATTTTGTAAGTAGTATTTAGAAATATAATTTATAGAGAATTTTAAATAAATATATGTAAATAATAATAATAAATTCATTTAATGTCAGACAAAGTCCATACAGCCAGAATAATAATAATTGATGAAGAAAATAACTAACAACCAAGCAATAAAATTTAAATTAAGGAATACAACAAAATATAAAAGTCACACTATCAATAAAACATAAAACTCAACAATGTCAAAAGTAACAATATAATCAAAACCATTGGAGAATCAGACACGATACCCGCTATGCGTGATTGGACCGCACAGAGATCGAGAGATTACCGACGTCTACAGCCCCAACACGATATCCATCCATCTCCGCTGGATTGGGCAATCCGCCCGTGAAGCAATCATCTTCAGGATGCCGTTGCTACTGCCCCTCACACGCATGAAAATAGAAGCGACTTTCTTCCGCATAATTGCATGAAAGCCATCAGTGCGCGCCTCTGCAAACATAGCAGAAGCACTGCAGTACCGAGGCAGCCGCAACAGCATCCTAAACACATTGTTGTACTGGACTCTAATGACATCCGCGGCCCGCCGAGTATGACTCAACCATAAGCTACTAAATAAGTAGTACGTGACTGCTGAGTACGTAGCTGCCAGGCAAGAGGTCTCGGAGTCGATTCCCGGGTTGGGCAAAGTATTACTGGGATTTTTATACAAATTCTCAGTAGTAGCACGGAGTCTGGAAATGTGCTCGGTAAGGCTCACCCCCTATTACATGGGACTCATAACATTAATAGTGAAAAGTGGGTGTTACATTGTACAGTGGCATTAATTGCCGTTATGTGCAACTCTGCCTACCGCTTCTTGGATAAATGGCGTGATTTTATATTATGTTATGTGTAAGTGGTATGTACGTGATAACTGGAGTCGGTGTACATCAATCAGGGCGATAAAAGTCCTTTGTTGTACTAAATTACGCTCAGTACATGTAATTAACGATACCGGTAGAACAATATTTGTGTCCGTATATTGATAACATTTCTCTGTTTCCTTACAGACAAAGATTTGGTTGTTCCCCGAGGGAACAAGAAACAAAGACTTCACAAAGCTGCTGCCGTTCAAAAAGGGCGCCTTCAACATAGCGGTTGCTGCACAAGTGCCAATCATACCTGTTGTGTTCTCGCCCTACTATTTCATTAATAGAAAGAAATATATATTTAATAAAGGTATGTAGTTAATCTATAAAGTTGTGAAAATAAGGCAACAGAGCTGTAAAACAATAATTTACATGTACAAGTAAATTATAGTAAATGCAAACAAGCAAGGTGAAGAAAACTCACGCTCTAATAATACAGTCTGAAGTAATAGTTAATACAGTGTACCCGCGCCTGCCGTCACGAAATGTCGACATTACGGGCCGACGTCCATCAACACTAGATAAATAACTAAAGCTATTATTTACTCGTACATCATTCTTTTAAAAAGACATTTGACAACTTCGTCTGGTGTTTGTATTTATTTATTCAAATATGTCAATCAACGGGTCTAATCAAAAAGACGTGACCTCGACCCAGTTGGGGAAAGGCCAGGAGAAAGACAAGTGTTAATTATAATACTTGTATGTTCCAGGCCATGCGATTATCCAGTGTTTGGATCCAGTCCCGACTGAAGGACTAACTATGGAGGACGTGCCGGCGTTAATAAACAAAGTACGCAACTCCATGGACGCGGCGTACAAAGAACTCTCCAAGGAGGTGCTGAGCACTCTGCCACCAAACTACCCACTCGCGACCGATTGAACCAACGTTGCCATCACCGGTACCACCTAATATTACATTTAATCAATATTAAGCTTTTACGTCTGCAAGTAACGCTGACTCGTGAGATGTTTGTACTATAGTGAGCATTCCAATCGCAAGAAATATGAATATTTCTGTGATTATATACTAGGAATTTATTTATATAACTTGTCTAATATTAATCTATAATGTTTAAGGCACACTATTGTGTTTTAACTTATGAATTACTTGATGTCCAATTTGGCAGTTGTTTTCAAATTGCTGAACTGCATATCATGTAAAAAGGTAATGTAACATGTCGCATAATTTTATTGCTATCAGCACATTGTAGTTAATATTTTATTTATGTAAAACTTGTATGAAGTATTATTTTTATAAAATGTGTATTAGTTGTATATTTCTTATGTATACTATGGCTGTAACGCTTATAAAGTGAGCTGGGCCGGGACACGTCATAATACGTTTTTACAGTAAAGGTGACTCGAGGCTAGGAGACATGTATCAAGTAGAGTACTATAGAATGTTAAGGAACAATTAGACCAGTTAATTAGCACTCTGCAGATGATTTAGTTGCGACAGGCGGCACGCCGCGACTATCATTTGTAGTGATGACCTTTTTTTGTATTCACATCACACTTGCAGTGTAGCTGTTTGTTTCTGCACCAGTGCAGTGTGGAATTTTAATCACTCGTTAAGCAACATCGCACATTAACTTGACTGAAGCAATTACCATTTCAGTATTTGAACAATGTTCCACTAGTGAACTGCTTTTTAATGTTTAGTTAATAGTTATACTTACCGTAGTGTTGTGTTGACAAATTTCTTGTTATTGAAAATTCGACCTTACATTAAAGCGCACAATGTACGTTATTGAATTTCATTGTTCGTATAGAACTGTAGGATGTACTAACATGCAATGTTTTACTAAACATACTGTGCGTTGCATGTGTTTGTCAAATCATTGTCAACAATTTGGTGCAATATTTAAAAAATTAATTGATTTTGTCTCTTTTTAAAAAATTCAAATGTAAAATGAAACTACAATATATGTGCCATTCTATTTTCAATTAAATGGCGGATATGTGGAAGAACCATTAATAGTTTAATAAATATGTTATTATAGGCGAACACCGTGAGTACTTATTGTTTACATATTCCAACCGTACGTGTGGTATACGTTTAAGTTCGGTATAAAATGTTAATAACAGAAAGACTACGAATATGTGTACCTAGCCTTTATGAAAGGAGGTCGATATACGCTACATAATTATTTCGCCCTTGTCAAAGACCTCAAAAACCAATAATCGTACGTCTTATCATTACAAACGCTTCATAATCATAATACGATTTACAGTATTATTTATTTGTATGTATCGCTTAGATTCAAACAATGCGCCTTAATAGTTATTCTGAAGTCGCTTCAACGTTTAGTTAAGATTTATTTAGGATACGTTCCTCAATGAAACCTTTTACTCTCTAGTCATATAAACGACTAAAAGTGAAGTCAGATGTATGTGCTTTGCATACCGAAGAATCGGTAGAACAATCAGTAAAGATACTCGTAATAAATTACTTAAACACCTTATATAAATTCAGAACACGTTGTAATCATTCTGTTTACCAAAAAAAAACTTTATAAAGGAAAGTTTCTCGCCCTAAAGTAATATATTACCTAACAAGAACACCATGTAACCAAATGCGACGGCTAATCCATAAAATTTGCAATTATTATTCTTTCCTTCAGTTGTTCGTTAAAGTAAACACGTTAGAAACTCATCAGCATCCTCGATTAATCTTCTTAGGAAGAAGATTATGAAAATATGAATTTAAATACGTGAAGTTACCAAAATTCGTCTCATTTTGTCGATAATGTTCGAATATTTTTATTATTTTAATGTGGATTAAAATTACGGTGCCATTTTAAACCTATGCTAACTTATGTCTTATTTTATTTTATCGAAATTTTATGATGGGACCATATTTATTTGACCCATTGTACTTACTTATACTGATTTATTAATTTTTATTCATCGCGTATACTATTTTTTTCTTATTCGGTAGTTTAGAATAAACATAATTTCGATACGATGTCTATAAATATGTTTGATATAAAAAATATATACGAGCAAAATTGTTATATTCTCCTGACGTAGTTATGAAAACATAATCTACATTTCGAATTTCATAATAATATTTTTATAATAATAACAATTTATTAGAAATAGTATTTATTAATATTTATAAAAATAATGAAGTTAGTCGTGTCAAAATTAATTGGAATAAATTGCTCAGCCAAGAAACGGAGAATAAAAAGATATGATTAGGTGGAGTAAAAATTAAAATATCACGAATTACAATATTCAATAAAAATTGAGATTATTGATATTTCGAGTCCTTATTGGTATTTAAGCAACCAAAGATTTTTAAATATCCAAAAAGTATTGCATTTTATTATTTCGAATAAGTAAAAATTTCGAAGGGAGAATTTAATATCGCATTACAATTTATAAATACGTGCTTGTATATGTATTTTATGGTAAATTATACCGTGTTATATGAATTTCAGTTAGAATTTGAACTTTATATTCGTACCACTAGAGTGGTAATCGTATTTCGCTAAAACTTAATAAGTACCATAATAAAGTAACTATCTAATATCTCAGTACTATATGTATTTGAGCTCAATATTATGTTGTTTACACTCATATATTATTTAGTTTATGGCATTATTATTATTATATGTAAATGTATCATGCCATATTAAATTTTAAACTAATTTTATGGACAGCACATGAAGGCTGAATTAAAGATAACTAAATGAGATTAAACTTTTTTCCTAGCCAATTAATAGATGCTATACAACCTTCATTGTGCGGCCATCTAATAATTTACTTAATTATTATTTTACTTATAATGTAACTGGCGAATGTTGGGTGATACGTCATATAGTTTTTTTCTACCCTATTATCCCTTTGGGGAATAAAACTGATATTATTTTAAGATCTATTTCTATTAGCGGGGATTCGAAATTTCAATTTGAAATGTCACAGCAAATTCAGTCTTATCTCCTCGACGTAAGGCACAAATAAAAATCATCTGTACACCTACTGATGATTCTTCTCGGAAGGAAAATGAGTTCGCTCATACAGAATGCATGCGTAGACTCTAGTGTCTTGTTTTAGCTAGATGGAAGTACGATCGTCGTATTTTTATCTTTAAGTGAATGTGTAGCTTACTAAGCTAAGATAAAGGTTATTTTTCTATGACATATCAGATTGAAGTCTCAACTCTGACCTAATATGAATTAACTATAATTGTTCATCCAATATTTCATTGTATTTTAACGCTGCTGACATGCCATTCGATATTAATCGCAATCGATAATATTATATAAATTTTAATTATTCGATTTTAAGTTAGATTTAGTAGAGCGCATTTTGAAAATGCGTTAAACTGTTATATTATTGTGTATAATTGTATTATGCTTTTTGAATAAGACATTATGTGTGTAAAATTATAGTTCAGTTGCTATATCAGCGTTTTGAGTATTCATCTGAGTGTTGAAATTAGAAAACAGTGGTATTTGCGGTATAACACTTTTCAGTATCGAATATATTTTATTTATTACTATTGAATAAGGAAATTAAAACCTGTAAAAGGTGTGTTGTGGTTTAACTTAATCCCCATATAAAATTGTTATTTTACTAGTTTCCTTATGAAATGGTAATAAGGAAAATATTTTGCATAATTCATCTCTGCAAAGTCAGACACATAAGAGTAACATTGTTCGATAACATAACACAGACTCTCAACTTTACTATTTTGTAATATAGTCCAAAATCTATTGAAAAAGTCTATACAATATCAATGGCAGATTGAAAGATTTACACGTTTTATAAAAAATCAGGATTGTCCTAAAACATTTAAATGAATGCTTCAAAACGGCTGTATGATATGAGTGCTATTTTTATCGCAGTTGCTATAGACTTTTACCTATTAACACTACATCACAATTTTAACATAACAAGTTTTCTGAGAAAACAAAACGATAAAAAAAATCTACGTGAAAAATAATGTATTAAATATCTAGTCTTCATGACAACAGTCATACAGAATACATGGAAACTTAAAGGAAAGATAGCGAGCTCAAAATAAAGAGTGTGAGACTTGGACTTAGTGAGAAACATACGATTGTGTATCAAGTACTTATAACGTACGTCAGGCGCTTACACCCGAATACTGAAAGGCTTCTCAATTTTTGTTTGTACTTAAATATCGTGCCATCTTTGTCGTTTTACTAGGAATTTGTAGAGACAGAACTATACTTAAGCGCGACTTAAAGTTGAGTAGCGTTTGAGTATTTGTACATTAAAAATTAGAACAGGGCTGTCCAAACTATATATACCCGCGGGGGGGTAATTAAATTTCTTACAAAAGCTCAAGGGCGAAAACATATTTTCAGTTTTATAATGACGTTTAACATTGTATTCTTTACTCACAGACAAAAATTGTATACAAATCATAATTACTGAATTTTATTACTGTTGTTGCACATACGTGTTACATGTTGAGATTAAAATGTGTGTCACGGGCTTTTGTTTGGACAGCCCTGGATTAGAACATTGATTATGTTTGTTTTTAATAATTTATGATCATGCTAAAGTATCTTACGTTCTCCTTTATTACTGTATTGAAAAAGTTTCTATACATGCATAGTAAATTCATTATCACATACGTATGCGAACATACACAATAGAGATGTTTGATGCTACTGCCATTGCATATTATTTTACTAATATCTAAAAAGTATTGAACAAAACCCAAACTGTGCTTATTCCAAATTATATCTAGGCATTTTACGCTTCTACTGACCAATAGAAAATACACTTAAACTTCTAATTAAGTTATACTTACCTAATGTATTTAGTTCCCTGAGCCTTTTCACAGTGCTTGACATACTCCTTTGTTATTAGTTAACAAACAGACAAATGTTGTTTTAGGCATAACACAAATACAAATACTAAGAAATTTGGAGAAAAGATCCCACTAAATATTCTGGAGGAAAGACCATATAAAATACTAACATACAGCTGCATCTGGTTCATAGTGACCCTCATTCAGCCTACCTAGTTTGATAAGGTTAAGAAAAAAATTGTTTTATGACGATTAAACCACCTCGGTTATTGATTTCAATACTTTCTGCGCTCCCGTTCCATTTGCCGCTCACTGGCGATAAAGAGAAATATCTAATTAGCCATTGCCATCTGTGAATTTCTAAACATCATTTTACGATATACTCAATGCACATACCTACTATAACTGAGTTAAAAATCTATAACAATATGTCATGAACAAAAAAAACATGGCATTAATTAACCGGGAACATAACAACAACAACTACATTACAAATAAAATAAAATAATTACTATTATTTATACGTTTGTACCATTGATAATCGTTCTATTGTATACAGCGATATCGACTTCCTCTTTTGCACCATATGGACTTACAACAAATACCTAGTAGGTAATAGACCAGCCCTGACTACATGCTAATACATTTACCTTGTCGCAATAATAATCCGACGAAAGGGTTAAATTATTCTCGAAAATACTGACACACAGGTGTCTTTATTTGTACCTAAGTTAATAATAAAAACGTAAAAATCAATCCAGACTCCATACGAATGCATTTCTCTACTCGCAATAATAATTTAGTCAAAGGCTCAAATCATTTCTGAATAAATAAATACCTCTCGATTATTTTGGATAATTATCAAGTTATATATCGCATCATTAAGACGTTCTATATTCAAAAATTGATTTATATTTTGTCTATTTTCCACGCTGGCAATTTCGTATTAGTCGTAAATGACCCATTTATGTTTTCTACATTAATGTCCTTTTTTGCTACGTTTACCGGTCGGAAATCTATTTCCTTCCTATAATTTCCTTATTCTTCATATGTGTGTATACTTTTACTTACCATATTCTGTAAAGTTAAGGAGATAAGGAGATATGATAAGGAGGTCCTTAATTGTTTGACCGAACATTGATTTAAAAAGTTGAGATTTGTCTAATACTATCTAATTTTTAATTTCTGCGCCACGAAAAGCATCAAAGCAAAATGCATTTTACCAATTTTCCTCTTATGTAATCACAATATTTGTCTGTTTGTTACACCCAAACTGAAAGGCTACTGAATTTTAAGTTGTACTTGAATATCGTGCCATCTCTGTCATTGTGCAAAGAATTTGTAGCGACAGAACTATACTTAATTGCGACTTCAAATTGAGTAGCGTTTGAATATTTAGACATTAGTCTCATATTACGTGTACCTACTTTATAACTATCATTGTCACGGTTAACAAAACTTTATTTTACTTCCTTGAAAAGGTTTAAAGTGAAAATATAGAACTACATTACCTACGTAATTAAAATATTAAATAAACGCTATGGCACAATCACCTTAAATAACTTTTAGAAAACGTTTACAATAAAGTACTTTTGTATTTAACTACGGACATATCTAAAAGGGTAGACGACTCATTTTTATTTTAATGTCCGTCTGGTAGATTATTTAAAAACATTGGACACGTAATTTTTATTTTCTTACGAAAACGAATAGTTTCGAAGATATATTGATTTGAAATGTCGCGTGACGTCACTTCTATTTACATTTTTTACGTAGAAATGACGTTTTAGACCCCACTCCTTAACTTTGATTATATTGACAAAATAAAAAAAAATACGTGTCTAATATTTTTTAATTACCTAACTTACGGACTAATTAGATTTTTAATTTTCAAACCCTGTCATCATCCCAATTGTGTTAACTTTTGTGCCATTTTGTTGAACCTTCAAATGTTCAATCAAAATATAAAATATCAAATTGTTCTCGAAATAAATGGTTAGATTTTGTAAAATAATGAAATCATAATATTTCAATATTCTACTGGTTTTCGACTAACTTGATATCTTCTATCCGAAAATATAACTTCGATGATTTTTGTATGTATAAATTGAAAAATGTAATCGAAAGCATAATGTGTATTGTGTATTATTGTTTTTTGTTCCTTGAATACCAAAATTCCAGAATTAATACCTTTAGGTAAAATAATAAATAGCTTGTAAGGTCATTTATAATGTTTCTATCTAATTGTATCAATGTACTCGTATCTGTGCAAATATTGTGATGTATCTAAATATTATTATATCTACTATTTAGTACCTAATTCAAATGTATTCGTGTGACAATTCCGTAGAAAAAAAAACGATGAAATGTATATTTTTACATATTTTCGTATGTGAAATCTTTTCAATAAAAAGAAATCACAGGGTAAACGCATTTTCAATGAAACACAGGTACCTTTTAAATTAATTAAATTTATTTTATTAATATAAATATAGGGACATTTCTACACAGAACAACAATGTAAACACCAACAACTAACTGTCAAATTACATTTTAGTAACTATTTCTTTATACGTTTGTTTATCACAGCTCTTTTTACACGACGATATGAATTTGTAATTACCTGGAAAATAAGAAAAGGCGATATGACTACAATACCAGTCGAAACTATTATATGGCGTTGCTTGATGTGGTTTTATGACATTGTAACATAACAAGAGATCTACCACTACAATGCTATTCGTATTTGTACCAGACTGTGAAATATGGGAGTCGGTCCAAGCATCGCCAACGAATTAAATATTTGTAAATTAATAAATAATTATTAATTTCTCGAAACCTTTTGAACAGATGCGTGTTTGAAAACTCCAGTCTGACAATCTTTTTATTGAATTCTCGACTTTATAGTTAAAACAATAAAGATGAAATTTTAATAAACAATGATAGAAAGAACGGAGTAGGTTGGCGTGCTGATCATCTTATCTTACATAGCACCCTTCCATGTAAAACTTGGAATACAGTGGTTTTTAGTTAGTAAGAGTCTGACACTCTATGACCTCACCCCGAACGGGAGGAGTCATTCGATGATTTACTATCTACCGTTAAAAAGCGATGCTTGTACTACATTTTCCCAGTATACAGTATCCTTTGTTTGTAGCAATACCTCATTCTAATCAGCCTTGATTCGGTTGCGTCGCTCTAACGTCTCCATCGAGATCTTTGTGAACTCTTCCTGCATGTTCAGTTGTGTCTTCTCCACTAGCGACACGATGTCATCTTTCGTCAGGCCTTCAGTCTCAATCATTGGCAGGAACGATACTATGAACTCGCCTGGAATCACAAAATGGTAACATGAGCATATCATATACAAACAATAGAACATCTCATAAGAAATAAGCATTGAAAATATTCATAATAGAAAAAATTATACATCGAAAAATAAATTATTCATATCAAAAATTCACTGCATTCAAACACACACAGACGGTGTGTGACACAATACAACTCACACTAGAATATTACAATGCACCCAACTCATTAAAATGTAAAAATTCCATAGAAAGCACGCGTTCCCCTCGGGGAAACCAGTTTCATCAGTAAACAGGTAAAATAGTCACCTGAGCCGAATTTGTGTCGCTTCCCGTCGAGGTAATGGTACTTTGAGATAACAACGGGTTGTATGGGCGCGCCCGCGTCCATTGCCACGTGGAATGCACCCTTGCGGAACGGCAACAGTCTGTCACCAGAGTGCCTCGTCCCCTCGGGAAACAGGAGGAGTTTTCGCTGTGAATTGAGATTGAAGGAATGTGTTATTATTTTAGTTCTACATAGGAAACTGACGCCTTATTCCTATAGCCCATGGGGGTAGGTAAAAACTAAATAGTGTCAGCGTTATATACCGCAATCCTTGTATTTAATTTCTAAAATAGATTTCGGCACTTCAGCAGTCCATAAAACTAATGAGTTGACATCTACTAAAAAGTGATACCATAATTACCTAGGTCTCAGCCTGTATTCACATAACAAGTGTTAGGTAAGCGCGCGTTTTGATAATACGTCTGAATAAAATGTAAGTATGAAGTTGTAAGCACGCGTTATCAAAATCGGAACATAGCCCTTATACAACAACGCTTTGCCTCAGCCATCACTTAAGTACGATACAATAGAACCAATATGACTACCTAATTACACGAGTTCCATCTAGGTGGGTACTATCTTCAAGAAATATGTAAACACCAATCTTTAACACTAGAAAGACGGGAGCAGTCATTTGACCGCAATTTGATTTTAAATGTTGAATAACTTGAAATCTATTTGAGTTTTTAAACTGAGACTTTGTGACTTTTATTTATTTTACTAGTTAAATGCAACTATGTATGAAAATAAATCACAACTTTTTGATTTATTATTTAAAATCTTGATCTACCGACAAAGACGGCGGCAGTCATTTGACTGCTGACAACCAATGAGTGTTTATAAGTGTAATATGAGAGGGTAGAATACAAATTATATACACTTATTCATTGTTTATAGTTTGTTTATCAAATGAGACCGTATCATTTCAAGTGTCTGTGAACTTTTACGAAATTATTGAAAGTAGTTTGTGGACGCAACGTGTTGGAGTCTTGAAAATGAAAAAATATTTGTTACTTCCAAAATATTTGTGAAGGTGAGTCTGATTTTGACTCTAAAAATACAAAACATGATAGCGACGACGATTACGTGGTACTACTTGTCAGTTCGAATTCCTCTACGGACGGAAGTGACCTGAAAGACCAGATACTTCGAGCAAATTTATCAGACATTGACAGGTCGGGTTCTCGTGGTTGTAATCGTTGCTGTGGTAGTGATAAAGACTGTGAAAGAAGTTTGGAAGATCCTGAGCATCAGGGTCTTTTCACAACTATCGACTGTATTACTTGTACACACCTCAAATGGCATCTACTCTAAGTGGTCAAATGTCGATGAATTCGTTGATACAGATGCGTCTTGTGAAACTTTTTGCAAATACTGGTCAAAATGTTACGAGCATCTCAAAGGTGAAATACATTTTTTTTTTCATATTTGAGACCTAGCAAAGATATAACATAATTTAGATAATTTTCCTTTTTAGATATAATTCCTTCATTTGGTATAGAAAAATGTAGAATATTACATGAAACAAAGGCTATTTATACTAAGTTCAGGGGGCGAACTTAGAAGCAAAGTATAAATTGAAGAAGACTCTCTGATACTGAATCCTTGCCTGAAGAGTCTAGATCTTTTACTTCTCAATCTCCTGCACAAAATCCAGTAAATTCCAAAATATTATATACACAAATGCAAATACAAAAACCATAAAGAATGCGACAATTGCAAAAAGCCACTTTGCGGCTTTTGTAATGTAAACAAAATGATAAAATTAGAAATTCTATACATATTACTTAATTAACAGTATATTATACCATGTTTAATACTATAGGTACCATTTTTAGCACTTAAACATAAAAAAATATCAAAAAACTTGGAGCAGTCATTTGACCGCTCGCCGTCTTTGTAGGTAGATGACTTTTTCCGTCTTTCTAGTGTTAAATCGTATGCACATAATTATTATAACTCTAACCTTAGGACACATACCTAGTACCTAGGTGCCTACAGTTAATTAATAATCTACTTAGGTAATAAAATAGTATACAATTGGGTACTTGCCAACTAGTCAAATTCAATACTTTTTTCCCTTACCGACTCGTAGTCACACCAGATTATCACACCAGTATGACAAACAGGATTTTTTTTCTCGTTTGTCACACCACTTATTTTTCTACACTATGTATACGATAATTACTAGTGCAGTACCTTTACATTCCAATAAAGTCGATCGGCGCGGCGTTTGCCGTCTTTCGTTCTTTGGCGAGTTTTTAATATTTTCTACTTTTAATTAATAAATAGGTAACATAACATAACATCAGTCTCGCGCACGCGTCCGTACTGTAAGGATGCATTTTTATCGAACGACATTTGTGTGACGGAATACATATTTAATAAAGGCAAAATGACGACAGTGGTTAAATGTATTTCCTGTAACGTAGTAATAGACGAGTTATTAGCGTATATACAAAATAAAATTTCAATAATTGATGAAGATACGTTAGTGCGGGTATGTGCATCGACGTTTACAAGTGAAGATATTGAAAAATCAAAAACACTTTTGTACGAATCTGTTCCCGTGGAAAAGGCGAAAATAAGAAGGAAAAATAAAGGAAAGGAGCAACGAGACCTAGTGGACATAATTAGTGTTTTTAAATCTGTGGAGCCGGATGAATTCCCAATTTTTGTGGCTCGGGACTTAGATAAACTACCTCCAATATTATTTGATCATCTCGATTGCACTAAACTGTTAAAGGATTTACTTCGTTTGCAAAATGAAGTTAAAGAAATTAAAGAAGCATGTGTAACGCAGACACAACTGCAAGATTTTAAAGTGGAGATTTTGAAACTACAAAATGACTCCTTAATACCAGCATCTTTGCGTAACAGGAACTTGAACAGAAGCGGTTGGCCTACAGAAAGTGGCCCGATTGGTTTAAGTCATGTCGATGTATCACCAGTTCGTAGGGGTGGAAGTGAGACCATCGAATCTCCATTGCAAATACGAGAGGATAGTGAAAAATCTATCATTAAAACAAAGGAGGTAGACGCAGAAGTTGGAGTTCGCGGTATGCAGCCCGATGTGTGGTCGCGACGAGTGGTTGAGGGCGGGGAGCGAGCGCGCGGGGGCGCCGTGGAGGCCTCAGTCAGCTGTGCTGATAACGTTAGATCAACTACTTTGTTGCGGAAGGTCGACAGGTCCGTGACGTCACCGCAGCAACGTACAGTAGTGCGGGCGACAGCGACTACGACACCGACGGAGCCCATTGTACTTGAATCAGCGCGAAACAATAATAAATCAGATAATATTAACGAATGGGAAAAAGTTTCATATCGTAAAAAACGTAATATGAGATATCGATACATGGGAAGCACGGGTACCGCCAGGGAAAACGAATGTAAATTCAAAGCTGCAATAAAAACAGTACCGATTTTCATTACGAAGGTACATAAAGACACCTCGCAAAAAGATATTGTTGATTATATCTTTCACAAGACGGGCGAAGTGATCTCGCTTGAAGGTATATCTTTTAAATATCCCAAAGAATATAGTGCATATAAATTCTTTGTCTCTGAAACGAAGGTGGAGATGTTTCTTGACGATAAGTTATGGCCAGAGGGAATTATTTTTCGGAGGTTTATGCATTTTAAGATTAGAAATAACTCGAGCGGTGCAAGCGGCAGTGCTGCTATCGGCGTAAAGTAAACAACTATGTATAAGTTGTTAAGCTATAACTGCAAAAGTGTAAAACGTTCTGTAGAATGTATCAGGCAATTGTGTCGCAAGGTGGACATAGTAGCCCTGCAAGAAACGTGGTTACTACCCCATGACACCTCATTCCTGGGCGATATAGATGAGGACTTCGCGTGCACTGGGACGTCGGCGGTGGACACCGCGTCCGGTATGCTGCGAGGGCGGCCATACGGTGGGGTTGCACTGTTGTGGCGGAAAAGTGTTTTCGACAACGTCTCGGTAGTGCAGTGTGATAACCCGCGAGTGTGTGCAATTAAAGTATGCATGAAATCAAGGGCCTTTCTAGTGCTAAGTGTATATATGCCGACGGATAATAGTGCAAACGTCGTGGAGTTCACGGATTGCCTCAGCTTGGTGAGTGCTATAATTAATAATAGTAATATTGAAACCGCTTTTGTCCTCGGAGATTTTAATGCGCACCCGCAAGAGCAATTCTACAATGAACTGACTTCTTTTGCTCTTGAATCCGAGCTATTCTGTGCTGATGTAGAACTTTTGGGAGTAGATTCTGATACGTATACGTTTATAAGCGAGGCCAACGGTTCGAGACGATGGCTGGATCACTGTGTGACAACAAGGGCAGCTATGTCTATTGTTACGAATGTATATGTTATATATGATGTTCTTTGGTCTGATCACTTTCCTCTTGTGATACAGTGTAATTTAGATGACATTAAACCAAAATTATATGACTCACCAAACAGTAATATCTTGTTAAGTAATAAAATAAAGTGGAATAACAGAAATATTTCACAAATTAATAATTATACAAAATTATGCAATGACTATTAAAAACATATTGACTTCCCTAGTGAACTGACAACATGTTGTGACAATGTATGTAATGATTTGAACCACAGAATTGTTATTGAGAAATTGTATGATTGATATTGTTGGTGTTTTATGTCGGGCGGCTTCTGAGAGTTGTGAATTAAACCATGTGCGTAATAGAAAGCGGTAGTGGGGTGGAATAAGCACGTCGGTGATGCTCACAGGCAGGCAAGGCTGAAATTTGAACAGTGGGTGTGTTTTGGTAAACCGAGAGAGGGGCGCATTTGGGATGAAATGCAAGAAAGCCGAAGGATTTTTAAGTCGCGCCTACGTTGGTGCCAGAATAATACTGAACAAATTAAAATGGATATGTTGGCGTCACACCATTCACGGGGCGATTTCCGCAATTTTTGGAAATCCACTAATAAACTCAATGGTGGGCAGAGCCTGCCCGTGAGCGTCAGTGGCGTTGCTGACGTCACTGGTATTGCTGAGCTGTTTAGGCAACACTTTGTCGTAACGTCTCCGTTGGGGCCATCGCAGTCTGCGTGTGATATGGACTGGACTGGTCGACAGACATGTATCCGCTTTAGAGCCAGAGAGATAAGGCAAGTTATTATGTCCATGTCAA